CGAGGTAATTGAACTTTTTAACCACCTCAAAACCATCAATCTCCCTGATATTAGTAGGATTTCGGTCTATTATTATGACTTGCGTTTTCCTTTTGTTTAGCATAAGGCCATGTTCCGCACTGATCTTACTCAACCTTCTCATTATTTGAACAAGTTCTTCCTCAGAGCATGCAAGAATTAAGGTGTCATCGGCATACCTAAGGTTTGTGATCTTTTTTCCACATATCGTTAGTCCGCCTCGCCAGCCCTGTAAGACTTTTCTCATTATGTACTCTCCATAAATGTTGAAGAGGAGATACTATACAATCTTGTCTCACACCACGTTTCGGACTAAAAGACTTAGAGAGAGCGTTGTTGACTTTGACTTTTCCGGAGCTGTCTTCGTAAAGATTTTGAAGTAGAAATATAACATGTTTTATGTTATATTTGATAGTAATTGTCACATACTTTTGTTATTATACCTCTGTTCTAAGTTCTTCTGCATTTTGGGGCAGTCTGCTACCGCAAATGTTGTCAGCTTCAATCTATTGATGTGTTGGTCGAGGAGACAGTGTTTTGTTAAAAATTCCGCGACAATGCAAATATTGTTATTACTTAAATCAAGGAAAATCTTGATTTTTCTCAGTCAGACCTGGAAGATTCCCATTCCATGTTACGGATGAAGACGTAGAGGTTCTTGAGTTTGTCTTTTATGGGTAAGAAAGATTAATACGAATTTGATTGCTTTGAATGTTTGGATTTTAAAGTTGAATTCTTACGCCAAATTTTCAGTCAGCTGCTCTAGAGAGCCGTACAACAAGAATGGTGTCCTCTTCCGCAGGTTTTTGAGCCAAAATGTTCTTCTACTAGCTGAGCATTCCCTTCTATTTTGCCTTGTATTGTGTTTTCCAGCAGTGGGTATTTGTCGTGTCCCATTATAAGATGTCCAAAATATTTTAGTGCTCTGGTCTTTATGTTTCTTCATGATAGGTAGGAATAGACTGTCATTTTAAATGTCAACATTAGAAAAAAATAATAAATCGGTGAACTTAGGTTTTGTAACGTCGAGGAAACCTTGTGTGAGCATGAAATCCGTTCTCTATCGGTCAAAATTAAACGCTGTGACTAAATTTAAGGGCAGCTACTAACGCGACGCGTGACGCCCGATGCAAATTCGAGCCCAATACCGGAATAATTCGGGCCGAACACGTCGCGCTTATGATTTTGATTTACATTAATTTCGTATTTTTCAGCGTTGAACATGATCGATATTTAAATTTTTCATGCGTGTCAGTCACGTGGCCGCCATGACGGTCGCTGGCCAGCAGTCACGGTTTCGGACTAATAAATGCATGTAGGCTTTTCGCTGCTGGTTATTATTATTTTTCGCCTTTTTTTCCTAAATATACAGGGGTGACAATGAAAATATATCTTGGCGAAATATCACATAAACCTTTCCAGAGGACCCCTGTTCAGGCAGAGTTTAGATCCGACTTGCTCTGGGAATTGAGAATACTTATAAAACTTGAGAATATATGTACTAGTATAATCTATTGCCATTATAAGATTTTATGTGAACAAAAAAAAAAAGGATATACAGGGTGTCCGGAAATTAATGCAACAAAATTTAGTCATAGATTCTTGAAAAAAAATAGGTGACCCGTATTTTTTATTTTTGGCGAGTGGCCCCCCTTTTCGGATTTACAGCCCCCTCTATTTTGGCCCTAAAAAGAGTTTTTTTTAATATCTCAGGACCCTGTTGGACGAAAATCACTAAATTTGGTACACGTGGTTTTACCATAAAATGACATTTTTTGATGCTATTAACTTTTTTTATTTTCATCAGTGGCGTCCCTACGGTGTTTAAACTTAATATTATTGAAGAAAAAAATGGTACGCCACTGTTTTTTTCTAAAATAAAAATTATTTTTAAAATCTACATTAAATTTGGAACAAATTTGATCTCTTGGCCTTTTTTTGGTACGACGCACCGTTTTCGCGTAAGAAATAATAATCATTTTCATAGATGACTAAATCGCTAAAATTTTACCGTAAATTACAATGGCAAAATTTTTAAAACGGCAAACTTAAGTTTAAAATAATTTTTTATTTTCCAAAATCTTGTTTTTATTACCTTTTATTACCTATTTTTATTAAGTGCGAACCAAAATGTCCAAAAACATAAATTGCCGTTTTTTAAATTTTGCTATGAAAATTTACATTAAAATTTTAGCGATTTGGTCATGTATGAAAATGGTTTTTATTTTTTTACGCGAAATCGGTGCGTCGTACCAAAAAAAAGTGAAAAGATCAAATTTGTTCCAAATTTAATGTAGATTTTAAAAATAATTTTTATTTTAGGAAAAACCAGTGGCGTACCATGTTTTTCTTCAATAATATTTAGTTTAAATACCGTAGGGACGCCACTGATAAAAATAAAAAAAGTTAATAGCATCAAAAAATGTCATTTTATGGTCAAACAACGTGTACCAAATTTAATACTTTTCGTCCAACAGGGCCCTGAGATATTTAAAAAAAAATCTTTTTAGGAGCGATATTCAGGAGGCTGTAAATCCGAAAAGGGGGGCCACTCGCCAAAAATAAAAAATACGGGTCACCTATTTTTTTTTCAAGAATCTATAACCAAATTTTGTTGCAATTAAACTTTTAATTACGTAATCGAGGGCGCCATTTTTAAATTCATTGTTGCCAACCATGGAGATATTCGGCGCCGGGCTGACTAACTAGAATTACGATTTAGCGCTGGTTATTCAGGTGGTAGCTCTAAAATAATTAAATATTTTTTTGTTTGGACGTGAGTCAAAATAAAAACTCATTTTTTTAAATTAGTGCTTGGTCGACGTTTCCACAAACCATGCCATCCCAAAAACAATATTTTTCCGAAAAACATTTTTATTCTTCAATATTTTTTTATTAAATCAGCATAGCTTTTTTAAACAAAAAATGCAAAAGTCATGCGAAAACACTATTTACAATAAATTAAAACAATACTTTTAAACCAATAAGTAACTTTTTATATCATATTTATTTATATGAATGGTTCAAAAACATTAGCTCCTTAACTAATACGGTAATGTATGTCAAACATTACCAAAGTTTTGTCAAGACTTTGTCTTTAAAAGTGGTTAAGATTAACAAGAGGCATTAGCGAAGATAATTTAATTTTCTAAGGACTATAGCAGGGGTGGCCAACAAATCGATCGCGAGGTCAATTTTGGTCGATCGTCCCAGATGAAGAATAATTCCTATGAATTTTTTAGTTACCGTATATACGGAATGCTGCTATCAAAAGTTGGAGCTGCAAATTTATTTTCTTAATGAGTCGACAAAGGCGGTTTGAATTGTATTCGGGAAACTATTCTGCAGATAAAAATAAGTAAAATTTTCGTATAAATCCATGTCCTAAAATGCTTTGTTTCTGAGATACAGGGTGTAGAAGTTTTATTTTAATTTGAGGTTTGTCCTAATAATTTCTGAACTATAATCGATATTTGGATGAAAATATGTGTGTGAGTCTTTTTGACATGAGAAATTTGACTTCGATGTTAAGATGGCTCCTGTGTATATATACATATTGACTATACATGAGGCGTCAAGTTGCAAAATCCGTCTTATCCCAAAAAGCAATTTTTTAGCAAATGTTTCAAGCGTTATTTGTTATTTTACAAAAAATGTGTCCATTAAGTGGAATCATTGTTTTATATCTGGTTTTTGTAGAAATAAAAATCAGTATTTAATTTTTAAAGAGAAAAAACACAACAATTATACGGATAAGGCGGGTTTTGTTGCAGTGTTTAATATTTTTGTCAATGATTTATGAATCCAAATATCTTGAGAACCATTACTGGTAGAGAGTTTTTACCAAGAGACTTTTTTAACGTAAAAAACGGCGGAAATGTATATTTTTCTCAGTAATTAATATAATTACGGTCGAAAAGTTATTACGCTTCAAAACAGTTAAAACGTATGTAGGTGGCGCTCCCTACAAGTAGGTGTCATACTGGCGTCGACATCGAATTTCTCATGTCAAAAAAAATCAAACACCAATTTTCATCCAAATATCGACGTTACTTCAGAAATTATTTGGAAAAATCGAAATAAAAATGAAATTTCTACAACCTGTATCTCAAAAATGAAGCATTTTAGGACATTATTTTATACGAACTTTTTAACTTATTTTTATCTGCAGAATATGTTAAGTGATAAAGTTTACATTGGCCACCCTGTATATCTATTAGTAACGCATATTTTACTTATCTACACATACCTCGCCGGAATGCAACTTATACTGAAACACAGTGTATAAACATAGTATTCCATTTTACATTTCTTCTTCTCCCTTAGACTACGCCTATGACAAGTCGATCGCGATATATATTTAAGGTAAAAGTCGATCTTATATACAGAAGAGTTGGTCACCCTTAGACTATAGGATATGGATAGGAATACCTCGGTCTCAGACTTAAATCATATTATATTAAAAAGACTTACTTATTGACCATTTGCTGATTATCAAGTATCAGATGTATCTACGTATTATAAGAAAAACATCAACTAATATTTTATTTACCCCTGTATGGTAATCATTTTTGTATAAACCGTCTAATTTCAATGAGCTTGAATGTCAAACGAGTCCGGGGTAAAAATGAACGGCGGTCTGGAAAATCGCAGCCTATTAGAATATTTATGAGGAATTAATATGGGGAAAAATAAAAGCTCCGGCGGGTACCCAATTTTTGTTAGGAAAATATATGCGTCGACTCATTTCTTCCATTATTTTCGTTTTTATTTTCACTTTATGCATATTACGATATTTACTGATGTTTAAATATTAATTTCTTTGTAAATTTTTAGTATACAAGCGGGCCTAAAAAATTATTTTAGGTTGTTTCAAAGACCCATATAACGCCGATTTTATTTTGTATTAACTGACAAATAACATATTTTTATAAAATTACTTCTTTAGTTTGGGGTTAATAAATAATAATTTTCTTTTTCAGGTTGCATACAAATCATGCCCCACACTGGTAAGTTTTATTTTTCATTTGGTAGAAAATATGCATGGGTATAGGTAATCACAGCTGAAACAAGTCAGTTTGAAAACGATTTAATTCTTAAGTCTTTTAAGTCATTTCTAAAATCAAAATGTTATAAATCTTAAGTCAATTCAGCATAAAGTCTAAATCATTAGATCTTAAGTCTTTATTTTTTATTTAAATCATGATGATCTGCGAGTTAGGACAGCAAAATGACTTACATCAAAATATTATGTACCGTCGAGTACAGACAGCCAAAATTATATTATTAATTTATTGTAGGTACAAATGTGACTAAAGTAACATAAAATAAAACAGTTAATATTCAGAATAACTACAAACAGATAAATTTGATTTTTTTTACAAAATCTAAACGATTTTGTAGTACTTTATATATGTCCTTTACAGATTAGATGTCATCGAATACATGTCCATTAAAAAGTGGTGATATGTTTTGATCACCATGTAATATGTTGATGGTATAATTTTCCTGTTTATACAGGATGTCCCAGAAATAAGCGCAAATATTTTAACTAGTATTATATTTCGGCCGCAGAAACACGTCTATGAGGTTTTCTGTTTGCGAAAAAAATATTGTTAAACATTTTATATTTTTCCCTGACATTCTCCGGGAAATTTTAAAAAACTTTTTAGTGCCACTTGTTTATTCACTGGAGGCAGTGGCGGCTCGTGACCCGTGTGACTGGGTAGGCGACAAAATTTTAGTTGCGTCTATGTCTATTTGACCCCCCCCCCCCTAACAAACAATTTGAAAGCCTCTGGAAATATATTTCCAGGATTATTCTTCTTAAATTATTTTATGCTCGAAATTATCATATCTATTATTAATACCTGCAATTTATTCATTAATTTATGTTGGTCAATAACATTTTTTGTTTGTTAAATCACTATTAAATGCGTTGGAAGTTGGAAATGTATCAATATAACAAGTTTGTTAAATGCGTTGGAATTTTTTTATAGGACTCTTTAAATTTCTGATCCGCAAGAGATACATAAAAATAATTGAGACATAGGAGTACCTATCTACAAACCTTATTTCTAAATGTATAACAATGTTATCTAATAATTCATAAAATAAAATTCGCAAAGATATTTGACTTAGCAGCTTTTATTAACATATCGAATTGAAATAGCACAGAGACTTTTGTGTAATATCTGTTTAAACAACTTTTTTAAACTGTTGTATCGTCTTCTTGCACTGAATAAAATAACGCGTTTTTATTTCGGATTCTTTTATTTCTGTGGCGTGTTCTGAAATACAACCGGTTATGTCATTTTTAATAATTTCGGACAAGCCCGAAAAATGTTTCCAATTTGCTTTAAACGTTTTTTGAATTTTCATATAAAAGTTTTAAATGTTACGTATAATGAATCATATGAAATATCCCCTTAACAAAATTTGATATATCTCATCCGGAATATCTCCTTAACGTCTAAGCCTACCGAGCCTCCACGACTTCATGCGAAGGCGACCGGAGATTTCGCCTAAGCCCTGCCTTAATATGCCCACCTTAACTTAGACTTACGTCGCGTCGCTACCGCACGATGAGTTAGACAGAGACAGAAGACTGACGTACGTCGTGCATCGACTCTGATAGTAGGCGATGTAGAAATCGCCGAACAAAGGCACTCCAACGGTCAAAATTACTTTGTTTTCTAACGCAGCGGCACAGTCAGCGTACGCCAGCGGTAGTGAATATGTTAATATACAAGACCACAAATATTAAAATAATATTGATTATTAAAACACACTTCCGTGTATTAACAGTATTTTTATGTATTGGCAACACTAATAGTAAATAATGTAATGTAATAAATCGCTTAAATTCTGCCAAAATCTTAGGGTTGGCCGTGTAGGCGCCACCTACCATGCCTACCCTGACAAGCCGTCAAATAAGCTGAAAAACCTAGTGCATGAAAAACCTTTAATAGCCGGTTATCACCAGCGGTTCTCACAATGTGCCTTTTTTTTATTTTTCAAAGTTCGGTTATTTTGAATTCATTTTAAAAATAGTAAAGAGAAAATTATGTTTCCTTCCTCCATGAGACCAGATCTACCACTCCTAAAAATATCTGCAATTATTTCTGGGACACCCTGTATATAAACTCACCATTCTTAAAATTTCAGGGTACAACGGACCATGATTAAAATGCTAAACAAATAGAATAAAATTGACTAAACTAACTACCTACTAATTGCGTTTCATGATATCGATTCTGTCTCTTATGCATAAATATAAAAATACTTATTACTTAAGCTTCATTCAAAACCTCGCACTTAAATTAGTGGTTTCAATTACACATTATGCTTTTCAATTTACGATCATTCACAATGTTTAAAAACACAATTAAAATTAATAGAATATCCTAGCAACAGCTTGCGGTAGTCAGTTGTATCCATAAAGAGAGCCTTACGTAAAAAATGGCTCTTGGTAAAAATTGGTACGACTAATGGTATTCGAGATATTCGGAATCGAAATAATCAGTACGTCATAATTAATTAACAAAAATTGACCATGTTCACTATACCGGGTGAGTCTCAAAAGTGGTTCACCCTTATAAGTTTTTTATTTTTTTAGTTAAAGAAACGAGATTTGGTATGTTAGTATATGACATAAATTAGGATTGATTAACGTATTCAATTGTTTTCGGTCACTTCCGGTTTCACCGGAAATGGCTACAACTTTTGATTTTTATATGATACCCCCGGTATTTTTTTTCTTTATTCGATAGAAAATGTCACTCTGAATAGAATAACATATCACACGTCAACTTTTGACATTTTCGCATATGGTTTATTTGAAATTACAACTTGCGGTTTGTAACGAAAATTTAACTCGAAATACCAAGTGTGTGGTATCAAATTATTCGTAAAAAAATGTTTTTTCCAAATATGCTAATGAGCCACCCTCGTTCCATTTGAAAAAATTGAGATATGATTAAAAATACGATTTGAGCATTTTCTAACTGGCCAAGACAAGACACTAAAAACATTAGATGATCAAATCTATTTTTCCAAGGCTCCTTGATAAAGAATTAGTGTTTTTAACATAGCCATGGCACTCTAAATTGAATTTTAAAATACAATTTTTTATTAAGCGAGAATGTCAAAAGTTGACATATGATATGTCATTCTATTCAGAATGTCATTTTCTATCGAATAAAGTAAAAAAAATACCGAGGGTGCCATTTTTAAAATCAAAAGTTGTAGTCGTTTCCGCCAGTGAAACAGGAAGTGACCAAAAACAATTAAATACACCAATCAATCCTAAATTATATCATATACTAACATACCAAATCTCTTTTTATTACCTATCTGAAAAAATAAAAAAGTTATAGGGGTGAGCCACTTTTGAGACGCACCTTATATAGGTATAGCGATTAGACTGAAATCATAAATTTGAAATATTTTTGTGCCAAAGATTCAACAGTAGTAATCATTTGTTAACAAGTCGTACCTAGTTTGTTGGAGAAGAAAAATAATTTTAATTTTTATTAATTTGTAGTAAAAACATTGTGTAGAAATTCTATTAATCTGTAACAGTAAATTGTTAATCTGAGACACAAGTATTATCGCTATCTTCATAGTAAGAATTTATTAATTTTATTAATTTATTATCAAATATAAGGGTTGTTAAATACACCAAGAAATACATTTCACATGCATCTGCCACCAGCCATCTTCATTATCTACCACGCATTCGTATAAACCGTTTCTTTTAAGTTCGAAAATGCTTGTTTTAATGTAACTCGATGCTTTTTACTGCGAACATTACAGCATGTAGTTCGGCGTTTAAAAAACCCAATTACAAACAACATAAGTTACAGCTATTTGTTCGTCCTATCTGACGTATCGGACTTTTTAACACGAAACAAACACGAATAATATCGTTTAGCGTTTTATATCTGCTTAAAAAGTACTTTATTGAGCCGTGGCTGTCGCTAAAAAAACTTTGTAGCCTTTTGACAGAGATCGCCTGATTAGAAAAGTCACACTAATGAAGTTTAGTAGAAAAGATAGCAGGTTGACTCGGAGGTGATGATACTTCCCTTCTCAGGGAAATAAGGTAACTTAGAGGCTCCTCAACATTCAATTAATCCACATAAATATACCGTGTGATAAAAAAAAACTGCATCAAAGACTGCTGGGGAATAACAATCAATGATAATTTTGGCGAAGTCAGTCACTAGACGTCATTTACTAAAAATTTACACAAAAATTAACACTAATTATAGAAAGATTAGAAAAGGATAGAATGTTTCCAGACACACAAATCGATTTTCAAAAAATTATTTTTGTTCGAATTTTAAACTACATTTAAAATGCACTTGTGATGTGTATAATCGTAACGACCGTAATAACAAGGCCGGACAGCTTATTCGTTACGTCATCACCTGGAGGCCTAAACTTTGATGGCATTTGATACACTTTATACGTATATAATGGATATAAACTTTAATTGCACCGAATTTTTAATAAATAATAATTAAACATAAAATTTAAAAAACATCAGATTGATATCCCATCTTACATTATCCATCGTCATTGTATTTATTTATGCTGTAAGTGTGTCTAAGTTTCTTTTATTTCCTTTTCCAAGTCTATCATTATTTTTTAACAACAGTAGTTTTTCAGGCGTGTATTTCTAATAGAATTTATGACAATTTTTACAATAACTTAGCATTATAAATAGTACATTGCGGAAATTTTAATAATGGTGTTATTACTTTTAATGCAATCCAAAGATATTTTTGATAAAAATATTTTTTTATTGTGAATTTTGAGAAACTCCTAATGGCTTTGCAAAACTTTGTTAAAAATTATATATTCAAATAAAACTATATTAGTTATTTCATCTTTTGGAAACACAAAACTGCCTTTAGTAAGGTTTTTTATAAGTGAATTTTTGTTCAATATCAGTGTTGTCTGAAAATGTTAAATTATTTTTAAGGACATTAATGACTGAATC